TGTTATTTATGCTTATCTAACTTTTTTTTTCATTTTTTTTTTTAATATACTTAATTAGCGTATTTATGTTAAGAAATTTATTTGAAATAAAAAAAGAGATGAAAAGAATACTTGACTATTTTTCCTGAGGTGGCAGGAGTCCTTATCTATAGTTGTATATTGAGATCTTGACTAAGATTCTTTAAATGTAAGCTGTTGCATATATCCTAGTCAATAATCACACAGTAGATCAATCTAGTCATTCATTTAGTTAATCAATCATTTCATCATACATTTTCTGATTGAATGTCCTTCGATGGTGAACTCTTGAGAGACATTCAATCAGTTTGGCTTTAGTCAGTCAATCAGTCAGTCTGTCTTTAGTTATCAGTCAATCAATCGGTCAATCAGCTACATAAGCAATTTGTGGGCTCAGCTCCTCTCTTCCTATCCAGATCCTATGCAGTTTCCTTAAGTTCGTCATCCAGAACCGCTCTATATGTCTCTCTCTCTCTCTCTCTTTCTCTCTTTCACTCTGCTTTCGTAGCTTCATATGAAATATTAACAGTTCTTCACAATTAAGTTTACTGAAATTCTATGTGAATCAAGGCAATTACATAGTATACAGTATATATGTATATAAATATGTATATAGCACTCATCAATTCCAGCTCGAGTTGAGCTTCATTGCCGTTAGATCATTCCCTAAAATAAAGTTAGTTTATCTCACATTCCCTGGGAAGCGAACTAACTTGATAAAGCGAATCAGCTGTTGGTTTCTAATGAATTACACGCACACCCACACACATATATATATATACGTATACACATATATATCCTTCAGCTGTTGTTGTTGTTAATAATTTAAATGCTTATCTTGTCATCAGCATCTATCTCATGTGTGTGCGTGTGTGTGTGCGTGTGTGTGTGTTTGTATCTGTATCTCTTTACATATAATTGATACTATCTGCATTTTGATTTGACTCGTTCGCCTTGACTGTGCCTCTCCCCCCTCCCCCTCCCCCTCCCCCTACTGCTCGCCTCTTCTGGCTTACCTTTTGCCGTTGTTTGGGACATTCCACAGGTTGCTCCAAAGTTCTGCTTCGGCTCCGCCGGCTCTTTGGCTCTGCTTGCTGCATTCAGCCCTGGCCGCCGCCCTTTGCCTGCCACGCCCTCCATACCATGCCGTCGCTGATGATCATGTTGACAATCTTTCTTGCTGCTGCTTCTTCTTCTTCTGCCTCTTCTGCTTTGGGCATTTCTCGGAATTTCACAACTGTTTCAACATATTTTTTTTTTTTTCGTTGGGAAACCTTTTTTCTCTCTCTCCTTTTCAGGTATGTCGCATGTTTTGGTTTTTTTTTTCTCCTGTTTTTTTTCTGTGGTTTTCTCTAATACGCACGCATATTCATTAATAATGTTAATCGATTTGGAATCAAACAAAAAATATATATGTCACTTGTTGCCCCCCTCTTACCATCCCCCTCTCTCTATCACTCTCTTTCTTTGCCTCTCTCTGTGCTTCTCAATACTTTGGCTGCTCGTCTGTAAATTGTTTGCAGCTGTGCTTCGACCTCAGCTTCGCTTCTATCTTAATTAGTTGCTCACCTCTCCAGCACCCCACACCCCCTTAGCTATCTCTCTCTCTCTCTCTCACTCTTTCGTCCACCCCCTGCTGCATAAATCAGCTGCCAAGCGCCGGCTGAGCGACATCAAATGCAACTCAAATCAAAATGTCATAACTTCCACAACGCCGACACAAGCGACAATACGTCAACATGCCACATAACCACACAGACTCCAGACCCAGACACCTACCCCCGCCCACCGGGGTTGGGCTCTCGCTTTTAATTAGTCGCTGCCCGCCCCCACTTTACTTAACGGCCCCCGCCCAACTCTTTCGCCTGCACGTCGCAAACAAATCACATAATTATGATTGAGCGCAGCCAACGCCAGATCCCAGCCCCAGCCCCAGCCCCAGCCCCATCCTCAATCCTATCCCTAGCGCTACCCCTTGCCCACCCCCACTCCCGTTACCTCGACCAGCTGTGGCGCATTTTGGGGCTTCGTTTATGGCGCGTGCATAAAAATAAATCTGTCCGGCTTGCAGCTGCCGTAATTGAATGCAAATGCCCATCCAAAAATACGCCTCATCTATTGAAGCGATACAGCCCACTCCCTCGCCTCCTCTACCTCTCTCTCTCTCTTTCCCTCTTCCTCTGCTGCGCTCCCGCTCTCGTAGCGTGCAGGCGACAATCTGCTATAAATTATCGTGTGTAGGTGCCACAGCTGCCCCCAACCACCTTCGTCAGCCCCCAGCCCCAGCCCCAGCCCCCAGCCTCTATGCTCCATTGTGTTTGCTGGCGATGCGTGGAAAACTAATTTTCCAATCTCCACTCTCAGTGCTCTTCTCACCCCTCTCATCTCTCTCTACCCCTCTCTCTCTCTCTCTCTCTCCCTCTCTGTGTCGCACTCGCTATTGAAAACTTTTGCCTTTTTCCTGTGTCGTTTATCTTGGGCACATTTTGATATTCATAATTTGTGGCGTGTGGCTCCGGCGTACTCCTTGTGGCATGTTGTTAAATTGCACCACGTGTTTTTGATAATGACGACATAATTATCCCAGTTCCTGCCCCTACAGACCGGTAAAGGCTGAGGCAGAGGCAGTGGCAGAGGCAGAGAGAATTCCACGACTCTCCAGCAACAGCGTGTCTTCAATCAGAGTGCTCTCTGTATGCGATAGTCCATGCATTGCACGCAGTCAATCTTGATTGATTGACCCGCAGAGTCGCAGAGTGCGAAAGATAGTAGGAAATTGTGGATGGGATAGTAAATTAGAAACAGCTTTCAGCTAGAGCTGTAAAACTGAATAGATACTATATAAGGTCTACGAAACTGGAGTAACTGGAGTAACTGGAGTGCTTAAGTCTTTCAGTAGGAAGGAAGGAAACTTTTCTCAGGTGGCTGTTTACTTAACATTCGCTCTTAACTTCAGGCTAACAAAGCCTTTTGCGTAGCGAGGGGCGTGTCAGGGCCAGAGAGCGCGCTGCCAAACAAATGAGATGACAAAATGTAAGGCAGAGAACGAAACAAGGAGCAAAAGGAGTTGAAATGAATAATACAAAGAAACCGCTTGCGGTCATATAGAGCACTAATTTAAATATCATTAGTAAACAATTAAAACAAAAGGAGCTCCCTTGACAATGCGGGCATTATACCAAGTCGCCTGTCAACGCGCGACACGCCCACGGGCGGAGGTTGGAGATTGGTGGTTGGGGGGTGGAGGACCGAGAGTCGAGAGTCGAGGGCCGAAGGCAGCGATTACATAAATGTCACAGAGCGCGGCGAGAGAGCCGAGCATAATGAAAGGCAAGCAAATCAAAGGGCGACATTTCAGTGTTTTGGGTCGTTTTGGCTTTACGCAAAGTTGTGACAGGTCGCAGAGAAAAGGATTGCGCGAAGGACATAAAACAAACAAACAAACAGGGCGTAAAGGAAAACGAAAAGGATTTCTGTGCGCTTTGTTTTTCTGCCTTTGTTGTTGGGCCCAGCTCTTAATTGCATTTCATGTACAATTTGTCAAAACACACACACACAAGCTGGAGACTAAAGCGTAGAGCTAGCTCTCCTCGGGCGCTCTACCCCGATCCCTCCCAGCAGCGCTCTACCCCCGCCCAACGCCTACCAGAAAAGGCTGTGCTAACATTTTTCTAATTTCTACTCTCTAGTTCATAAACGTGCCTTATCTGCAGCCTGCGGCCGTTCACATGGTCCATGCGGCTTTCGGACACGTGGCACCCCCAGCCCAGCCTCCCCCTGCAGGCCACCCCCACTGCCCCTCAGCTCCTCAAGTGCGCAGCCGTCGTGACGCTCTCGACCGCAAATCACCTGATGCTATTTTTCCCATTGCCAACAATAACTGCTGCCACGCCCCGCTCAAGCACAGGGGCGTCCACACCTACACGCCTCACTCCCTCACTCCCACACTCCCTCGCTCTTTGTCTCTCTGTCATAATGGCTTGGCTGGTTAGCTATACAATATGTTTGTAATATGATCCTGCGTGCTTCAGCATAATTTGTTATTTTAGCTATCGCATTATGCTACCTCTGCAGCAACCCCAGCCTACCAACCTCAGCCGCCCCAGCCCCCTTCTACCTTTGATTAAACTACGCACTTGGGTAAGACAGACATACATATATACGCATATATATGTATACACTTATACGTAAATGGATTTCTCGCAGCGGAACATCTTTTGTCAGCCAAAGCAAAAATACAAAAAAAAAAAAAAAAAAAAAATATCGATTACATTCGCTGAAAACTTTTTGTCTGTATGCAGAGGTTGAAGACAAAGCAGGAGCAGGAGGTGGTGGAGGTGCAGGCAGAAGAAGGACAGCGCTCATTGGAGGCCCCAGGAATAACATAACCATAAATAAGGGTAATAAAATTGATGCTCAGTTGTCGCTGCAGCTGTCCTGCACTAAGAGCAACAAATAAATTGTTGCTGTTGTTGCTTTTGTTTTTGGCGATCGAGCAATACTCATAACACTAACTCACAGTCAGCATGGCAAACAGCTACCAACTTTTAATGAGCTCTCTTCTGTCTTTCCCTCACTTCCAGTCTCTCTCCCTCTTTCTCTTTCTCTGTCTCTCTCTCTCTCTCTCTCTCTCTCTCTCTCTCTCTCTCTCTCTCTCTCTCAGTCCTGAAGGATGTAAATGCAGCTTAAAGTTTTGTGACGCAGCTTTTTCATGGTATTTGCTTGTTCTCAACTTTAGCTTAAAAAGCTGTAATTGTCTCTGTATTAGTGTGCCTCAGTCTTGCACTTTGCGGCGAACTACATTTTCAACTAATCTCAGTATAGCCAATTCGCCTTGATGGTAGCTTTAATAGTATTAGTGCGCCGCACACGCATGCGACCAAACCAATAGTATTTGCTTTATTTACATACATTTGCGCACACATGCAAACGTACTTACATATTTGTATGCATGTTTAAAATGTTTAGATAAAAAGTGTATATAAAATTTGCCTTGGGCTATTTTAATATTTATTTCATTCAACTGTTTCTTAAGCAATCTAAGTATAATAATTAACTTTATATAATATACATATATTAAAAAAAGAAGAATTTAATATAATTTAGTAAAATGTTCACTTACAGTTTCTACATATGTATATGTGTAGGATAACTCAAAGAGGAAGACAAATATCTATGTATATAGTATGTGTATTGTCCAAAAACTTTTTGTCTGTTTCTTAAGTCCAACAAATATCTTGACATCTAAATCCGGAGTAAATACATGGCTATACTTTGTATATGTATATGTACATATGTGTAATTGAAGTATTCGTTTGTCGTAGTTGTAGTTGCTGCTTTTTGTTCACATACAGCTGTTTTGTATGTATTGGTATTTCGAGTACTTAAGAGAGTGAGCACTCAATTTCGATAATGAGAACGGATTCGCCTCACACTTGAGCTCACTTGCAAAGCGAAGCCGACAAATGCTCTTTTTTTATGTTTCGTTGTTGTATCTCCTTTTCACTCTTGCCGCTGCTGCTGCTGCTGTTGCTGTTGTTGTTGTTGTTGTTGGTGTAACTGTTTGTGTTACGTTTTGCCTTGCTTTGTTATTTCGCTGCAGTTGTTGTTGCTGCCATTGTGTTTGGCCATTGGGCGAAGCATGCGAATAGCGGCGAGTTATTAAAAACAATATTCGCCGGCTAAGCGCAGTCAGGCATGCAACGGGAATGGCAGCAGCAGCAGCAGCGGCAGTGGCAGAGGCAGCGAATTTGGATTGAGGAGTGGGCAATGTGCGGCTTATCTCGCATCTTTGCATTAACACTTCGGGTTTCGCTGCCTGCTATTGTTGTTGTTTTTGCAGCTATGCGCACATTTTCACACACACATATACACACACAAGGGGGCACACGCATGGCACAAAATGGCTGCCAATGATGGCATTTCGCTTATCAGATCAGCGCAATCGCTGCGCTGTGACAATGAAAATTTAGCACCTTGAATTATACACACACATAGACATTTACAATCACACACATACACACAATTACACGTTCTCTCTCTCTCTCTCTCTCACTCTCTCTTACTTTTGCGCTTACAACTTCTCAAAGGCATTCGCATTGGTGAGCATCTCACGAGTCAAACGCCAGACCTGCTTGGCGGCCTGCTCCAAAGCGCTGGGGGATTTGCCCTTGAACATATCGAGGCTGGGCAGAAAGTAGTGCGGACAGCGACGGTACTGCAGGCAGGAGATTAGCTGCAGGAATATCCCATTCAAACGGTCCGCAATGCAGCCCTCGTCCCACTCAAAGTCACGCGGATGCTTCTCGCACTCGTAGAGCAGTAGATTCTTCAGATGATATGCGCTGATCGGATTGCCGGGTAGCTCCAAGTGCCGGTCACGCAGCGTCTTCAGTATGCTCAAGCAGCGACGACGGCAGCCACCTTTGAAGATTCACATCATCATCATCATCATCATCATCATCATCATCATCATCATCTTCGTCATCTCAGTTGCCAATAGATTGTTAAATCTCTCCCGCATCTCCCTCCCCCTGCCCCCGCTCACTCACCTTGCAGCAGGCGATTCTCGGCCTCGAAGAAGCTGAGCACCCAGGCATCGCCCTCCATGCTGGCCGCATTGTTGTTGTTCTTGTTCTGCATGACGATGCTCTCCTTGGAGAGCAGATCGAACCCCTCCGTCTTCACTTCGGCCACGATGTTGGGATGCGGCCAGGGTATGTGCGGCATGGGCCAATGGGCCGCCGATCTTGGCCAGATGCCGGAACACTTGAAAGCCGGCGTTATTTGCACCACGAACCGTTCCCGGATGCGCAGCTTCACCTCTGTCGTATCGCCCATCATCTTGACCATGTCCCGGTAGATGCTCTTATCGCACGCCTGCGCCACCAGCGTCTGGAAGCGTGCGCGTATCTTCCGCGACGACAGATAGCCGGACGCTGTGATGAACTCCACCCACAGCGACATGGAGCGTTTGCGTCCGTCGCTCAGCTTCAGCACCGCACAGCCGGGCAGAGTGCCGTCGTCCACGAAGTTGAAGACGCCCATCTGATTGAGGTAGAGCACGATCTCGAACTCATTCGGTGAGATCACCTCGACGCCCTCGAATCTGCAATGGAACCAACACACACACACGCACAGGCACACACATATAAATACAGAAACGTATTGTAATCCTCGACTCAGCTTCGGTATCGGCTGCGTCTAATCAATGGCTGCCAATTGGAGCTGCGTAATTCGGTCGCCTGATACCTGTCAGCGCTCTCCTGCCTCACCTGCTATAATCGCACAACAACAACAACGGCAACAACAACAACAACGGCAACACTGAGTTGGTTCTTGAATGGCATGAAACATGCGATGTCATTGCTGTCAAGTCATGCTCCTCGGCTTCTCCTACTGCTCAATATCGATTGCATCTACCCGACGAGCGCCGCAGTAAGTGTGAAGGATTAATGATATCTCTACATATATGCTATAAAGCTATAAATTATAATATTTAATAATTATAATTTATTATTCCCGGTGACAATATATATCTTTGATACTATATATGGCATTGCGATTCGCCGATATTTTCAGAATCGACGTCTACTTCTAGATATAAATATATATGTATATTTGTGCATACATACATACTACATAAGATCATATCGCAACTAAAATCTGATCAGATATTAATTTATATATGTCATATCTTATCTCAACTAAACTCTGACTAAATTTTTTGATTGAGATTAAGTTCAAAAATTGATCAAATTTTAGAAATGTTTTCTAGACCTATTGTATTACCTACATAGAGTATAGAGGTAGAGGAGCATAATAGCTAGTCAGATAAAATCGTCCATTCATATCTGTTTCAAAGTGTTACAAGTGAAAATGTAAAATATGCCAAATAGTTCATCTCTATCCTGGCCATCGAATCCTTTCTGAGGACGTGAGAGATCCACAGAACGTGTCATCGGTGGAAAAATCAATAAAACATCTAGAGAATTCTAAGGTTAAGGCATAACCTGTATTATCTGAATTCTTGATACTACGACTGTTAAGTATATTTCTCAATTCGAATGAATGTACGAATAAATATGAAATATTGTTCTAAAACTTTAATAGAAAAACTTTTTTGTGAGGTACTATGAGTATTGCCATTCATTCGGTTTTCACTTATTCTCCTGTTTCCCACTTTCTCTATAAATACTTTAGACTATATAACCTCAATATATCCCCTGAATAACATCAATTTTAGAAAGAACTTATTATCTGTCAATCTCAAAGGCTTCATAAAAATCAATAAAAAGTTCCTTCGTTTGTCTAGACAATCCGAGTAGAGATTTTCTACTCTCAGAAACTGGAAATGCCCACTCACCTGCCATTGCACTCGACCAGGCTGGAAATGAAGCGGGGCTCCTGTAGCTCCACCTCCTTGAGTATGTCCTGGACAATCTTGCAGATCTCACGAATGGCCGTCGCCGTCTTGAAGATGCGCGCTTGGACGCGCTCGGCGCAGAAGCGATTCAGCTGGTAAATCATGCGCGTCTGGGCGGCCATCATATCCGGCGGCACCAGCATCTCGAGCTACAATGATATTTATGTTAGATGGGCCAATCGGATGCCCAAGGACAGGATGTCCCCAGAAGGTTGGCTGCCCGCGCTGGCGGCTAACAACAAACGGCGGCGTTGACGTTGATGTTGACGTTGGAGCTGCGGCTGGAGACGGAGCTGGAGTTGGAGTTGGAGCTGACCTCGAGCGTATGCCAATTATGCGAGCTGCAAACGAAATCGGAAGCGGCTGCTGGCCGGGCTGGGGGTAGAGGCGGCGGAGAAAGAGGAAAAGCCGGTGCTGGAGCTGGAGCTGGAGCTGGAGCAGGAGTAGACAAAGGAACAATTCAATTGTGAGTTACGTTGACAGGCGAAGTGGCAACAATGGGTAGCAGCGCAGCGCGAACTCTTGACTTTGGCTTTGCTTTTGTATTTATATTAAATGTCGCGTATCTTCTATATATCTGTATATCTGTATGTGTGTGTGTGTGTGTGTGTGCCGTGCCGTGCTGGATTAGCTGTTGCGATTGCGTTAATGCGGATGCGTTATGGCCGAGCCGAGTTGTCGTGCGTCTGTCGAATGCCTCTGCCACAGCCTCGACAGCCTCGATGCGATGCTGCGATGCCAGCTAACAAAACACTCGATGCCGATTCAGGCGAAAAGATACGCGGCCGAGTCCGAGTCCGAGTCCGAGTACGAATCGGAGTCTGGAGTCGTTGCTGGCGTTGTAAATCTCGCGAATATTTACAGCTTTGCCAGATAAAGCACACACACGCACACATAAAAGTGCACTCTGTGTGTGTGTGTGTGTGTGAGTGTCTCATGAATGGGCTATGAGCACACCCACAAAGGCAGCTGCAGCCAGAGCTACGAATACCAATGCAATAGCAAACGCAGATACATATGCAGCCATAGATACAGATACAGATACAGATACAGATGCAGATGCAGATATAGATGCAGCTGCAACTGTCAGCGTGTCACGTGACACATGGACCGCGTGATTGTCGCCTCGCTGGTCTCGTGCCAATTCAGCAAGAACAACAACAACAATGTATCTGTATCTGTATCTGCATCAGTATCTGCAAGATACCTACACACATCTAACTGCACCGAGCGCTGACTAATCAAAGGCAAAGCGCCTGCAGCCATGCCAAAGTATCTGAGAGCGTCCACACCTCCCTCTCTCGCTCCCGCTACTTATCTCTCACTGTCTCGCTCTCGCTCTCTCTCTCTCTGCGCGTGGCGCTGCCATTGGCTGGCGCAAGCTCCGCCCACAGAGCGCGGCGATACACACGAGCGAGCGCTCAACATGCCGTCGGCCTGTCGCTGCGTCCGTCTGTCATGCAGCGGCGCGCTCTTTGAAGTGCCTCTCCCTCTCTCTCTCTCTCTCTCTGTCTCTCGCCCACTCTCTGCCTGTCTCTCCCTCTCTCTCTCTCGCGCTCGCTCGCTCTCTGGCTTGAGTGTGTGTGTGTGTGTGTGTAAATTTAATTTGTTAAATACATTTTGTGCCAGACGCCGTCGTACACGAATTGTTTGCAATAATTTATCTGAAATGTGCACTCATTTAGCAACGGGCCGCGAGCAACCCTCGTCCAGTCGATATCTTTATATCTCACGGATACACGAACACCACAAAGTTTTACATTTCACAGATACATACATTCCCACACATACACACACACATACACACATATATACATGCGGATACATTCATAAATATGTCGCCGGGATTAATGTGCCAGTTGGCAATTTCTGACAGCGTTATTCCAGCCAAAAGCAAACGGCGCGACTTCTGACTCTCTCTCTCTCTCTCCTCTCCCTCTCCCTCACCCTCTCTTCCTTTCCTTCCCATCACTCTATCTGCCTAGCTAAATACCCTGCATATACTTAATATATAGCCAATGTGCTCAGAACTCCGCTCGATATATCTTCTGATTGGGAGCTCGCGTGGACAAGTGTTCCGCATTGTCATCGTTGGAGCAGTCGAGATTTTGGCTCAGATCAAAGCATTCGTCAACATTAGTTTTGTTGTTGCTTTCAATTAGATGAAAATCTTTTGCATTTGGCACTAATTCAAATGGATGTCAACATAAGCAGCTAACAAACAGCGCATAAAACAAGAAAACATCGAACACAAAGATCAAAAATATAAAACTCTGATTAGAAGAGGTTAAAAAAAAAAAAAAAAAATAACTAAAACTAAAAACAAACAGAAATAAAAATACAAATATTTAAGAGAGAGAAATATTCAGGGAATGACGCGCATCAAATACCCTGTCAAAAATAGCCAAGCTGTAAGCAGTTGTCTCTCTTGACACTTCTTCAAGATTCGAGCGGTAAATTGTATCTATGGGACACATGTTACATAGGTATTCGAGAGACATTTCACATGAGGTATTCGCAAGAATTATCTCAATGGCTGAGGTCAATAATATCTATAAATTCATATAGATATAATTATCCCTAATTTATATAAAGTGTTAATAGTAATTAAATAAATAATTTGAGGAATAGTTCAATCATTGTTTCTCCCATATTTCTCTATCAATCCCTCTTTCTCACTTTCTCACTCTTTCGCTGTCGTTTTTATCTCTATTCCGTCATTTCTTTCTCTATATCTCCCTTTTTTTTCTCTCTCCTAATTCGTCACTTTGTCTCTGACTTTCTTCACCCCTCTATCTCTCTGTTTATTCATCTTTCTCGCTTTCTTTTCTCTTCCCCATATTTCATATTCTCTCTCTTTTGCTATTTCTGTTTCTGTTTTCTGTATTGTCCGTGTCTCTGCACTTTTCTCTCTTTTTCTCTACCTAAGTCTCCTTTTCCCGTTCTCCTTTTCCTTTTCCCGTTCTCTATCTCTCTCTTTGGTTTTCAATCTCCATATCTCTCTTTCTTCTTGTTACTCTATCCTTTTCATTGGATCTATCTCTCTCTCTCTCTTTCTCTCTTCTTTTTATATAAATTATATAAAATATATATGTAAATATATATTATATGTATTATTTCTAATATGCCTAGGGCATATTTCTAGTTTTCTAGTTCTATTATCTGCTATTGAGCTATTTTCTCGCTCTCTCTCTCTCTCTCTTTATCTCACTTTCTCTTCCTCTCTTGCATACATATATAGCATATTTTAGTCAGTCACTTACAACTCTTTCGAAATTATCATAATTTTGTTACCATTTTACGACGATTACAACTGCTCATCGATGATCGTCATCGGTGATTTTACGACCCACTCAGTCTCATATTTATCTGGCTGTGAAATCTATCAAATATATCGAAATCAAACGGACGTAGCCAATATTCATAAATAAATTAACGATGAAAATACTTGAAACTTATCTGGGGTCAATTTGTAAATGTTTTGTTGAATTCAGGAAGCGCTGCGATCGAGCTCGCATATCATTGACCATAATCACTCCGCACAATCGATGCAGAGACCTAGAGACCTATATGTAGATACATATAAATCTACATGCATACATATATACGTATATTGCATGTGGATCCATTCCGCTCTATGCTCTTAATGCCCCGCTGATATACGATTCTCTATTCGATTTCGATTTAGTCGCGTCGAGTGGATCAGTGAAGGATCGTGGCCAGGTGGGAGCGAAGTTTACAACAGCATTTGGTTAAGTTTTAGCGCGGGATTTTCACACATATACACACACACACACACACAGATAAGAGTAGGCATATCTGCATAAATTTGAAACAAAGGGCGACAGGCGAGCGACAGTGAGACCTCGCGACTGACGGACACAAAGAGCAGCAAATGGTAAAAAGTGGAAACGAGCATGTACTATAAATTCGACTCTGAGTGTGTGTGTGTGTGTGTGTGTGTGTATGTTTTTACCGTATTTATATATCTCTTAGATCTTGAAGAAATTTGAATATAATTTATGTGCAATCGTCGCGTTTTTCGGTTGGTTTATTTGCTTGCTCTGCCCCTGGACCGTAGCCCCTGGCTTTGCCCCTACCGCTGTCTCTACCTCTGCTGCCTCTGCTTCTGTCCCTGGCTCGGTCCGGTCCGGTTCGGTTCGGTCGGTTCGGTCCCAAATGAAGAACGATCCATCCATCTAAACGTTTGTCACTTGCTGCGTTGTCGCCGCAACGTTTGTCTTTTCGCTGGATCCGCCAGCTCTGCTCCTTCGTCTCTCTCCATCTCTCTCTCGCTCCCGTGTGCTTCTTTTGTCTTCTACTTCATCTGCTTCTCGCTGTTGTTGGTGTTTTTGTTTTGTTTGTTTTTTTTTCAAACAAATGGTTAAAAAAAAGCGCCTGTGACACCGTCGTCGCCCGTTGACCATCAACGCAGTCGTTTATCTTGTAGATATATCGCTCTGTCCAGCTGAGCGACCAGCTCGACGAGCTGCTCCAAGTTTCTATGGAAAAGAACAATAACTAAATTTCACATGCATCCAGCTAAAGTAATTCCGCTCTATGGATACTAAAATACCACTGAAGTGGACACACGGCCAGCTCTACCAGGTATATAGTATATACCTTTAATTGTCTTCAGGTGATTTGCGAAATTTACAAAGTTTTTGATATTTTTGAGTGTTTAAAGTTCACTTATGGCGTGCGCTCATAAAGATAAATCAAATGAAAGCATTGAAATACCCTGTAGTAGTACCAAGTTGGGAAATGCAGAGCTGTGAGTCGAAATCATTCAAAGCTCGAAAAAAATAAAATAAAATTGTTGGCAAAGAATTCGACATTAGATATTCTCATCAATACGAAAATATATCTTATTGGATTCCAGTAGCTATGTGGAATTCGATGATATTTCCTGAAATTTTACTTAAATTCGCAAATTGACTTAAATTCCATAATTTGAATAGAATTGCTCTATTGTATGTACAGATAAGGAGAGTACGAACTATTTGTAACCGCAGCATTTCACTGGCATTAACACTACCGTTAACATAACCATTAACATAGAGCTAACATAAGCAGCGCCATTTGCAAAAAAAAAAAAAAGTTTTTCATTTCACTTTCTCAGCAGTTCCTCAAGCTCAAGCTGAACATGTGCTGAATTCATAAGGACTAGCGCATGTTCAGGGCAAAACCCATTGCCACGCCTCTTTTAGCTTTCGCCTCGACTGCTGCTGCTGCTGCTGCTTCTGCCTCTTGCTGTTGGCTATGCAAAAAGCATTCTTTAAGCGGATTTGCATTAACGCTCGAGTAGCCAATAAACCCGTTTGCACGCACACACACACTGACACACGCACACACACAGTCAGTGCACATCAATGAAATAATAACAAAGGTAAGCCCCTGCGCTTTTTGCTTAAGTACAGGTGACATTTGACTACTTTATTGAATTATGACAGCGAACAAATCAGCGACACGTATCCATCCATCCACGATCGATCCAGCGTCGATCCTCAAGCGAACGACTGGCACCCAAAGCGTCGCTCAATCAGATATACCTACGTATACATATATACATGTGTATATATGTATGTGTGTGTGTGTTTGTAACATATATAGTTTTTGTATCTGTAGAGACGGATGCAGCAGCAGACTGTAAGCCTCATTACGCATGCGCCGCGTTGTGCCGCTGCTCGAGGAATGATGATGACGACGATGATGATGATCGACTGATCAAATGTTGTTGACTGGATCCACTCGGGACATTGGCTAGTCGGGCGTACATGTGTTTCGCGTTCCACTGCCTAGCATACTAATTACACATATCGCATTTGCCGCCCAGCGTACCTTTTCCGATCTCTTAACTTACGATCTTGACGACAAGTGCACGCTAATCACGCAGAAGGCACTCAGCCAAAGGGCCTGTCACTTTGTTTAAGGTTAATTTAGGTAAGGCGAAAAAAAGCAACGCAAACGAGAAATAATATC